CTAGCCCAATATGCTTTTGTGGGACTCATGAGGCACTCTTTCCCTTGGGAATACAGTTCTGCAACTAGTACCTGGCTTGTTCAGCAGTATATAGGCACATATCAGCCCCCATGGTTGGCCACTACAAGGCCAAGCGTGGAACACACAGTGCCTGACTACCCTGGTGGCCATGGCTACAGTTCCTGGGCCAGGTCTAGGGTTGGAGTGAAGAACAAGGTAGGACAATCTGCTCTCCCACACCAGGGAAGGTGACTTACAACTTTCACAGCCACCACTGAGGTCCCCGAAGACATAATAGCACTGCTCAGAAAAAGTAATCTTGTTGACAGTGTGTCGGATGAGTCCCGCCTTCAATAGTCCACTGGCATACTTCCGGGCCTCCCGGCGCTCAGGAAAGCCTTCCACATGATGGTACAGCCAGTCTACCACATCTGAGCCTGAGATCAACAGTGGGAAAAGTCAGACTTTCCTCCCAAACCCTACCCTCACCCTTGTGCTGTTCCCGGCCTTGGTCTCTTCCTCCCCTTCCCATGCCACCTTGCTCAGGGTCTGGGAATACCTAGAAAGGCATTTGGGATGGTGATCTTGAGCCACATGCGGTCCCGAACTTCTAGCCCAGATTCTGGAGCTGCCATGGCCTTGGTCACAGAGGCCATGTCCATGTGGATAGAGAGACCCCGGCTTTCACAGCCTAACAGAGGAGAGAACAGAGAACTGAAGAAAGGTTCACTCAAACAGGGAGGTGGGAAGGGACTTGAGACTCACCATCAGGCAGGGACGAGCCAGATGTAATAGTGCTCATAGATGAAGAGCCCGGATAAGCAGGGAAGGTGCCAGTCAGAGCAGCGGAGTGTGACACCCAGGCAGCGGGATCAATTGGCTGGATGGGCTCATCTGGTGCAAAAGTAAAATAATCACCACTCAATCGTACGAAACTAGCCCTGTCCTGTCCCTCCCTTGACCTTCCTGAACCCATCCCCTGTAACTTGGAAGCCCACCCTCATCTTCTGGCACCTCTAATCTCTTTTTGTTCTTGTTTGTTTGAGGCAGGATTTCACTCTGTAGCCCAGGCTGGCCTGGAACTCACTATATATTCCAGGCTGGCCTCAAACTTTGGGAGAGCCTCCTGTCTTAGCCTCCCAGATTCCAGGATCACAAGCTTAAGCCACCATGCCCAGGCTCCCCAGATCTAACTTCAGACCCCTGCCTGAGCATCACTCACTTCGGGGGAGGGTGAAGTAGGCCTGGGGAGAGGGATCCCAGCACTTGGCCACGGTCAGCACGATGGGGCTGTGGAAAAGAGAAGGCCAGTCACAGTCAAGCACACAAAGGGAAGAGACTTCAGAAGTACCAACGTCTGATGCATAAGATACAGGAGAAAGGAACACACACATAACTGGGCTATGAGAACGTGAGAGTGGAGGGCTCCACAATGTGGATGACTCACCAATATGGGCAAGTTAAAAACATAGTGCTGAGTGAAACAAGGGAGTACACACTGTACCATTCATTCACAGGAAGCACGAGACAGGTAACACTGAACCATCTTGTTCCAGGATTCAGGCATGGGTGGAAAAACCCATCAAAGGTTTTCTTGACCAAAGAAGTCAAGAGAGTAATTACCATCAGTGAGGAGGGTGGAAGTGGGAAGGAGTGTGCAGTGGGTGGGCTTTCTGAGGTAGTCACCAAAATTTTTTTGTGATTTAAGCTGGAGTGACATGTACTGCCACTTAGATTTGTTATTTTGCTTTTTTTTTTTTTTTTTTGAGACAGGGTCTCACTATGAAGAACAAACTCAAAGTGCCACCTGCCTCTTCCAAGTGCTATGATTAGAGGTGTGTGCCGCCATGCCTGGCCTCACTTCTTTTTTAAATTGCACAACAAAGGTGAAAGAACTTAAAAACAAGAGGCCTAAGGGTGGGAACCTAGCAGAGGCTCACCCTGGTTTGTGCACAATGTCTCTCAGTACCCGTACAGCGTCATCATTGCTCATGTTCTCAAAGTTCATATCATTCACCTGGAAGGGAGAAGTGGGTCAGAGGCAATGTGGGAGGGTGAGAGCCTCTGCCCAAGCCAGTGTCCAAACA